CGCTGGCCTCAACGTTGGGTGATGTAATGCGACCTCATAATCCGTTTGTTTGTTTTTTGAAAACCACCCTGTTGTTGCCGAGGAGGGCGGTGAGGCGGTGCCGCTCTCTGTCATGGTGAGGAAATGGAAGTTTACTCGACTGGTAAGGCTCAGGTGTTTTGGGGCCAGACCCAAACTGCAGATTTGCACAATCCATTCAACGCAATGTGTTCATGCACTACTTTTATTAAAGGTTTAAAGTGGGCCGCATGTGTATATTTCCCGTTGTATGAATTGAATGTACCGGTACTGTAAATCTTTTAGGTTGTGCATTCAGTCCATCCCCAGGAGAGGGTTCCCTCCTCTGCCCTTCTCCCTTAGGTTACTTCCTTTTTTCTCCCCATTTAGGAGTTTTTCCCGTGATTTGGGTTTTGGGAGAGAGGATGTTGTATGTCTACGGACTGTAAAGCCCTCTGAGGCTGATTTGTAATTTGTGATTTTGGGCTATACAAAATCAAATTAATTTAATTGTGGAATTATACATGGATCTGTGTTATGAACTATTATAAAACTGTGAGCAGAAAAAATGATTTCCATTCCCACTGTTAAATTTCTGTGTGGAAATACTCTCTTCAGTTTACTTGTCTTTTATATCTAATTCCATTCATGAAAATAAAGAAAACACAGTTTCACAATGTGACAAAAAATTGAAAGCAAGACCTCAATCAAACTATTGGAAAACAAACAAGGCAGAGGAGTGTGAAAATGCTAAACTCTTTCCTTCCCATTCATCAGATGTCAACCCACAATTTACCACCGACCAATGTCTTCAACGGCACTCTCCACCGCCGTCATCAAGACGAAAAGAGGCGATCTCTTCTGGGAGGATGGTGTTTATCGCTCCAGTGTCATAGCCTCAGGAGGTTCTGGTGGCTCATTATGGCCCAGCATCTTGCTAAGACACTTTTACGTTATTTTTTCTCCCCCTTTTCATTCCTCACAAATCTTGTGTTTGAGGTATAAAATATAGATTAGCGATGCACATTCTCACAATGGATATGGACCTTGGTCGTAATATATGCTGACAAACCACAGTGGAAGAAGACACTACTTGCACTTCACAAATAATTGTAAAACACAAAAATGTATTAAAAAAACAATATGGGGATATCCCATGACACGCAGCCAAGCTTGTATTTGTTAGTTCTGAATCGCAGCAGGTGAGCGCACAGCAGGCAGCAATGATCAAGGCTAAATGCAGAACTACCTTTCTGTCAAAAACATGCCAGTTTGCTGTATAAGAACAAAACCAAGAGAAGAGAAAACACTGGGGAAGGGAATTACAAGTGCACAGTGTGGTTAGGAACAGAGTTCCCACTACAAATGAGACTGTAGTAGAGCATTCATCTAAAAAAGACAGCCTCCCGTAGGTTTCTTATAGCAGGTCAAATGATGACAAATAGACCATTGATGGCGCGCACACGCTCCACCGTGGATCCTATTATCTCTGCTCTCTTTACATACTTGGCGTCTCAGTTGGGTGGTCTAGTTTGTTTTATCCCCAATGACGACACCGTTCAAAGCCGTAAAGAATTAAGTTTTTCCCCAAAACTCCATGTCAAGATTCTAAATCTTGTCGACCTTTACCACCCTCTCGAGTGCTTGTCCTGCACCGCTAAGCTCCACCCTTCGACATACGATTGAGGTGTAGTGAAGTTGGCGCATGTTCTGTGCCACAGGAGGTAAAGCAGTGAAAGCATTCTGGACATTTGCTTCTTTACCCCCGTTGCTCGCATATCCCCTCCCAAGCTGGGTTTGCCGTAACGCCTGCTTAGAAGGCTACGGCAAGAGAGCGGCAAAGCGCTGACTGAAAAGCCAGAGCTCAGTAAGATGAACAAAAGAAAAAAGACGTGGTGGAAAATTAAAAGTGTCAAGATTTTGTCCAATTCAAATCGACGGAGATGATAAAGGACAGGGAGACGTTTGCTCCTGTGTTACGTGACTGAAGGCTCTCAAATAGGTGACCTCTTTAATGAGGTGTTTACCGAGTCAGCCACGTTCCCAGATCACTTCAAATCAGCAAAATAAAAGGATCTTGTGTGACAAAGCGTAAAAGATCCCTGCCTAGAACTTTTAAGTTTGATACGATGAAGTCGAATTCAGGCACAACTGCTCCTGCCATTAACACTCATTGGAAAAAATTGGAGACACTAAGGGGAAAGCTGTGATGCAGAAGAAAGTTACGTATCTTTGCGGTATCTTCCATATATTAAAATGCACCCATGCAAAAAAAAAACAAATACATCAGCAAATCTAACACTTCCAACAAAAGTAAGGATGGCATGTTTGCCGTGTGCTTATTGAATGCATTTATTCATCACTGTTGTCTATCTTTGATTTTTCTTCACATATAGAAAAGACAAAGAAAACGGGGAAGCAGCGCTGTGCATTTCCTCTTCGCCGCCCTTTCAATTTGTCCATTCACCATGACACTTGAGGTAATAAATCAAAGCCGAGCAGGCAGCCGGCCGCAGTGGGGAAGGGACTTACTGTGCTTCTCCCACCTTCCTTAACCTCTGACGTTCCTTCCACAAAACCAGTCAAAGAAACCGACGCTGGGCCGCGCTCGTCGTGGCTCGGGTTTCATTTGGCTCATAAGGTATGAAATATCTCTCCTTATCAGAAAATAAGAAGCGAGTGGCCATATGTTAGAAAAGATAAAAACCAAGAAGAAGGTGTGAAGGTGTGAGAAGCTGTCATGAAAGGGAACATGAGGTTTTGCACATTTACATGTCAGTCAACCGCCCGATAAGGCAAGTACAGGTTGGAGCCAAATAGTGGACACGCATGTCTGTCTATCGGTTTGCAACGTAAAGAGGGAAACCAAACCAAGCACAGGAGTTTGAAATGTCCAAGCAAGCGGTGCATTAAGTGAGACGCTACATGAAATCGTCATACTCCGCAGTCACAGCCGGTGAGAAAACCTAGATTTTTTTTTCCCTTTGAGTTGTTTACGTCCTTTTAAAACAAGTCTCACATTATTGAAGGCAGCATTTTGCTGCGTTGTTAAAGTTTTTCTTTGGTCCACAGGCACTGATGTTGACAATGAAAGCCTCAGAACATGAAGCATTAGCGCAAGAGAATATGGTAGATGTGTGATTGCCTCCCATCCAATAGAGTCAACGCGCTATGCAGTCCTTTATAATGTTCAGTGGTATTAAAACATAAAACAGAGGAATGAATGCCAATGCCTACGCTCATATAATATATGCATGTCTGATTACGTATTGGATGAGGCATATAGGCTTCTGTGGCACCCTGAAGCATCATCATCCAGCATTCATCCATCAAGAGAAAAGCTGTCAAAATGACCTTATGTGTAAAGTACTGAACACATGCAAAACACAGGTGACACCAAAATGTCCACTTCTGTCTTGGACTCCTGTGCAAAATAATAGGTGCTGCAGTGAAAAAAACACTATTGCTTATGGCAACATAAATCAAATAAAAACATCAGCAGTATTATTTTAAAAAGAAACATCCTGGTTTTTTTTTATAACTGTATGTTTTTTGTTTTTTTTTATAAATGTCAGCTTTATGATGAAAAACATCAGGATTTATTTTTGCATAGTACTGTACCAGAGCTCTTATTCCAGTTCACAATGTAGTCAAGGAGCATGCTTGCATTAAACATATTGGAGCCGTTTTCTCCCTCGTGCCTCGTTCCCTCTACAACATGCAGTCACGAACTAGAAGGGCCGAAGCGGCAAATGCGCTTGCTGGCTGACTGGGAGGACGGAGAGGCCTTTTTTCACCAGTCAACGGCTGTCCTTAATGAGAATAGAAAGTGATTTGCTAGCTTGATGCTCCATCTCTCAGCCCGCCTGCCTTTGCTTCACGCAGCCAGTTTACCCCGTCCTCCTCTGTACGGAGAAGGAAACAGGGAGCAGATCAGATATCCTTTCCCCAAAACATCCACAATTTCAGTCCAAAAGACTCGGTAATCAGACGTGGATTTTGTCAGTAGCCAAGCCAATGACCTCCACCAAGTCTTGCCTCTTTCTATTTGCCATAAAACAGTTGTTCAATTACACTGCGCGAATACGAAGCATTTTGTAATTACAGTCCATAGCGTGTGGCTTATTGTTGTTATACACTCTCTGCACCTCCACCAGCACATACAAACCAAAGAGGGAAGAACAGCAACATCCATCTTTCTCAAGACTTAATGTGACATAAGTGAAAAAATATATATGGACAAAAGCAGGTAAGCTAGTTCCCCTCATGCATAATCTGCTCCGCTCACAAAGCACAAATCTTATTTTGGGAGGAAGGGGGGCGGGGGTGTTAGGCAGAAATACATTTCCGCTATCATGCCCTTTCGTGGTTCTGAAATTAGTGACGCTACTCCGACGACCATTTGGAAGTCAGAGGCTTTCATGGAGAACTCCAGATGACCTTTCCAAGTCCGGGGTTTGTTCGGATCGAATCAGTTACCCGTGATTACACCCACCGTGCCCCAATATCGCTGGTTGCATATCGCCTAGCAATGCACGTGTTCCTCCAATTATGTGCTGAAGTGAGAATAAAACACCAATTTCATGCAGATCTGCAGGGCCAAATTGTATCCTTTGATTGGGGCAGCGTACTTGGGGCATGCGTGAAATTCAAAGTCCTAATCACATTCAACCACAAAATTAGGGAAAGCCAGAGAGAAGAGGGGGGCACAGAGGGGCACAGGAACAAAATAAAGAGTCCCATTTAAACAGCAGCCACACTTAAAATGCATCATGTACCGAAGCACAAGTAGTTTATGAAGCAACAAGGGGGGGGGGGGGGACTCACACGTCACCTCCTTACCACAACTGTATGGCTGGATACTGGAACAGGACAGGTGATTCAAAGCCAGGAGGTGCGTGTGTGTGTGTGTGTGTGTCTGCGTGCGTGTGAGAGCACATGATTTGGGCATTTAGGGTGAACACAAGCCTACCAGTTATCACAACGAGCGCAGCAGTTCTTACCGAGGGTGAAGTAAGGGAGAGCTGTGTTGTCAAGATCATCCATCACGGAAATTCGCCCAGGTAGATCTGTCCTGACGAATAACAGGAGTCGGGATTCCCCCCCTCCTCCTCCTCCACCAGCAGTGCCTCCTCCAGTTCCTCCTCCACCACCGACACCTGCTCCAGCGGCGCCCCCCGCTGCGACCGCGCTGCCGGGGGCTGCGCCGGTGAAGCTGAACTCGTTCTCCCGGAGCACGGGCAGCGTGGAGACGGTCACGGCTTTCACCTCGCACGGAGCCTCCGCGTCGGTCTCCCTGTCCCGGTCCCGGTCCCTCTCCTCGTCGGGCGACGCCGCGCCTCTGCTCGCTCGGACCGTCATGGTGCACGCCAGAAAGAGCCCCGCGAGCAGCAGGAGGAGGAGGAGGTGCGGCTGTACGACCCTCGCCATCCCGCTCCGTGCGTGTGGTTCCTCTCGCTCGGAGTGGGGCTCATGAGCCGTCCGCTCACTTATAGCACCGTCGCTGCAAAGGAGTCGCGTCCGTCCAGGAGGCGGCAGCACAGGTGTAGTGAGGACGACATCTCTCGGCTCCCGTTCCACACGCCAGCGTGCGTGCGTGCGTGCGCGCAAACGCACACGAGTCGAATCGATTAAGCGCGTAAAAGCGTGTGTGCTTTTTTTATTTTGAAGAGGAGTCAGGGCAATAGTCAGTGCGTGGCTACATTTTAAATAATAAGAAAATAAAAACTTTGATTGTTTATAAAATAAGGACCGAACTCGCATAAGCAGATGTCTCTCTTCACATCATTAACATAGGCCTTCGTTTCCCCCAAATATTACTTTTAAGGTTCAAAGTGCATTATTGGCCATTAACTCAACAATATAGCGCCACTGCAGCTGTTCTTAAACAGTCTTAAAAAAAGCAAATCACTGTCGGATCTTCTTTCCACGTCAAATCCAAAGTTGAGGTTCAAAGTTCATTCTTGACCTTGACGCCCACCACTTATACCTACAAGGTTCATTTAGTTCTGGAGCTCTTGATCACAGAACATAGTTTTCACAGCTCTGTGGATGTTCAGATTGTTTCAGAGTTTTAAGGAGTTCTCATCCATAGTGTCTCCAAAGGACAGGTTCATTAAGAAATTAACAAAACAATCTCACCCCAAGTAACTTATTATTATTGTTTTAATCAGTTTGAGTCAATACCTTCTAAGGCACAGACAATATGATAAAAAACAGGGAAAGATGTTTAACACATTACACAGTCTAATTAAATGGGGATTCATTACAAACAGTAGATATTCCTCCTCATTTCATAGGAGCATGACGTCCTCATCTTACTAACCATTAAACAGAAAGTCCTCAGTAAAATGTATTCACCTACTGTCATCTTGTGCCCTTTTACAACCAGTCTTATCCAGCTCTTGCAGAAGAGAAAGTTACATTCTTGTGTCCTACTAAATGCACGGATTAACTTGATGCACAGCTTATAGTGACGCACATTCATCATAACCTGAAATATATCATCATACACAAAATAATGAAATGTCTGAAGGGGTTGTGCAATGCAGTAGTAAAAAAATAGACATGATTACAATGAAATCACAATTTAATCTGATAGATAACTTTGAGTTCAAGATCTAAAATGCACAGCAGTTTCATTGTACTTGTCTATATACATTTTTGTCCGCTCATAATTAAATCGTGTCTTAATTAGCACCTCAGAAGTGAATGCAGGCTTCTTTCGCGCTGTGCAGAAACAGCTTTAGTGACGGAAACAAGGGGCATCAGTGACTACAGAACGCCATTTACATTTCACCAGTAGAAACAAAAGTGTTTGTGTGTCATCATATTTAACACTTACCTTTTACAACATGTCCCTGAAGGTGTCATAGCACAAGAAAAAACACTACTTTTATATTTTCATCAGCTGTGAGCAGCCCCACCACATTCTCTGTGTGTTCTATGTGGGACAAGAAGTCCATCAAAACACACACACACACACACAAATTATACAAATGTATGCACACTGTCATCTTTGGGTGGACTTATTATTCATCACTGCTCTGGTCTGGACGTACTGTTTACTCCAAATTTCTCACAATTAATATGGAAAAGGGCCACAGCACCACTCGTTCTCTCCGCGGTGCTGAAATATTCCAACAAGCACTCACGACGTGTGCTTCTCCGTGGTGAAGTATTCACTCACAGTGTGTCCCGACGCACGCTACTGATCTTCACTACTGCTTGAACTAAAGCACGCAGATTACATACAAACCTTTTGATGACGAGTCTCACGCATTCATTGATCATTAAGTCCTTTTCGGTGCTGCGTGATCGACATCTCCTAATGACTTCAGACACCTTAGCCTGAGTCACAGTGAGTTGGGAGGACTGCATAGGCGCTGACACTTGTGGGAAATTTACCTTTCGACTGCCAAAACCATTTTTCTGTTACAGGCCTTCTTTTTAGGGTCAGCCGAGCTGTCAGTAAGGCACACTCCACCCCACTTGATGCGCGCCCACCCTGCTACTGCAGCTAGAGCCGTTGGATGCAAAGTACATCCCATGCTTCATTATGAACTGTTTTTTTTTTCAACTGATGCATGTAATTAAGTTCATGCTAATATGGAGTAAAGTCTAACTGAGCAGAGAATGAAGTTGCTGTCTCTCTGCATCTGTTGTTATTCAAGCTTCTGCTTCTTCTTTGTTCTCATTAGCTCGGCCACTTATGCTTTATAGTGCACGTTCGCGCATGTGAGCGTTCCCCTCTGGCTGACGCACGGCTGCAACTCCGCGCTGCTCCCATTTGGTGGTTACAGCTGTAAACGCCACCTCGAATTTTGTCATTGTCACGGAAAACGTCCCTCCCACCCTTGTTTTTTTGTATCTCAGAGAAACACCGTTATCTCTGCATGCGCTTTGGCTGTTATCTGTACTGTCGGCACCTTTGGCTGTGAGGGGCGTCGGGATGTTGAGCGCTGTTAAGAGGCAATAAAACATTACCAATCTTGTAATATGCATCGGTAAGATCCTCAGGTTTCCTCACAGGTTTTTCCTGACAGTTTCCTCACAGTTTAGCATGTTGGAAGGGCCAAGCCATTTTGTGATTTAAAAAAAAACCAAATGTGCTCAAACAACACAGCCACTCTGTGTCTTTTAAATCCAACACACAATTCACCAAAAATGTGTCGTGCAAGTCTTCCTCCTAAAAGGTTTTTAAATCGACCCTGGTTGTCAAACTATTCTAAGGTGTAATTAAGGTGTAAAAAGTGGATTTTACTTTTATTGTTTAGTCAAACCGAGACACGTCCATAATATTTGGCCGTTAAGCGATGCTACAGAATACCAGTTCACATCTGACGAAGCTCTGCAACTTCCAGAAGTTACAAACTTTGAGGCAACGCCGTGCTACCTCTGTCCTTTTGTTGTCCCATCCTTGCCTTGCATTGCTTCATGCATTTTTAAGACACTAGGAAATATTGAAAGTAGCAAAAGTGGGGTGAAGAAAGATGCAATGAATGGAAACAAATGAAAGGAGCCTCACATGTGCAAGCAAACTGTGGTGCTGAAACAGACAAACCAAGTCTTTTTATGAGCATCACACAATGCCGTCAGAAGTATTAAGACAAATGCAAAGAACACACATGTATCCATTTTATTCACACACAAATTCCCCAAATCATAGACTACTTTCATTTCCTTAAACCAATGTTTAAGTTCTGTAGCTGCAGAATGTTTAATCCATACTTTAAAGAAAGTCAACCCATTTCAGACACAGCCACACTCAATAAATGAATTATCATTTAGACAACTTTCTCCCTTTCCCTTCTGTGTTAATTTTCCATTTATGTCCGTCGTAATGATCTCTTGATGGTATATCTGGGTACAAAGAGGGCGATAAATGGGGAAATCTGACATGCTTTGCTGTTGTCCTGGCGGGATCACTGATACTCTGGATGCATCTAGTGGGGGGCCACCGAGCATGACTTCTTTTGCTGATAGATTTCATTGAACACTGTCTACCTTCTAATGGGCAAACAGTAACAAGACATCAGGCACGATTGATTGATGTCGGTGTGTTGGCCGAGGTGGCAGAGAGCAGCAAGAAGCAGCTCAAACAAGGCTATGGAAAGGAAGATTGCATTGTTATTTGCTGATGGAGAGCTGTGGTTGGAGATGTGAGATTTATTGCTCAGGAAATTGCTTCGACCTGAATGCCGTGGCAGCCTCTGACTCTCTTAAAATTGAATTTGATAGACAACAAGCTAATGTTCACTGCTTCTGAGATGGTTAAACCGATTTATGTGACATAATAAGTGAAGGACCTGAAATTTTCCCTCTCCACCTTCAACCAGACTGGAAGAGTGTTGTTTAATGTCAACAAATTATTAAAAACTATGTCATTCCGCTCATTCCGGTCTCGATACTGTCTATCTACCATCAGCCGTTGTGTCTTAAAGTTCTAGTACGAGTCTAAATTCATAGAGAAGAAACTAAAATGAACCGTTCGTTTCACTCCCTCATCCATTATTCAAGCAATTACTCAGCGAGCTAAAACGTTTTACGTGACCCTGTGCAAAGGTCAGCTGTAGAAAAACTGTTGCAATACAGATCAATCTATAAATGTGCATTAGTCAGTGGGTTTGGGGCACAAACAGGCTAATGATACACGCTGTTTGTGCGAGCAACACCCATCAGGGTATTCTATACCTGCTGCCGATACAGGTTAGAGGGATGGAAGTAGATTTAGATCACGTGCTACAGGAATCTGGCATATATTTATACAACTCGCCAGCTTTACAGACTGATGACATAATATGTTTCTTCTTTCCGTTGCAATGCTCTCAATCACAATGTGAAGATGCTGAAATTCGGACAATGTTTGCTTGTTATCCCCCAGGAGAATATCTTTTTTTTTCTTCCTTCTTTTGGCCATAAACCAAAATAAACTGGAATCTAGAACCGATGATGGAGTTAGATGAAATCTTCAGGGAAGTGTGAAATGGAGAACATTTCATGAAAGTGTATCCAAGAGACCTTCAACCAACAAAAAAAAAAAGAATTCTCAAGTTAGGTCACCATAGTAATAAGGATTCATCCTGTGTGCACCATATATATATATATATATATATATATATATATATATACATAGATATATGCTCTATATATGCACCACACGCCTTATACTTAGAAAATGTTATATTTGACAGTCTGGACCAAGATTGTGGATAGAATGATATATTTATCATCAGGTATTGCGTCATGAAATCCCCAAATTCGCAAAGCCTCACTAAAAACTTTTTTTTATGAGTTGGTTTGAACAAAAACAGTCATGAAAACTGAGTTCTGTGCCGGCGGCGTTTTCCTGTGCGATCTTTGTTAATTGATTAGTTTAAGTTATCTGGAGACTGGCCTAGTTCTGTAGGTGTAAACAAAGAGCTCCTCAATTAGAAACTGGGTCACACCTGGAGGACAAAAACGCAACCACACACATCCCCCCAAAACACGCAGAAACGACCCCTGACAAATTGGTTTAGTGGGTGCTGAGCACACACTCCAACCAATGTGTACAGCAAGAAACTGA